TCTGGTGCAAAATAGTACGTGACATAATAATTGATCTACCAGATTGCTGGTGTTGTTTTTGTTTTCTATTTCGCACTCACTAGTATCTGATTTATATTGAAAAGTTTAAATAGCGATGCATTTAGAATTATACTTCATCATTCATAATGATCGCAGTTAAATTTTGTTTTGCGTGAATTTAATTGCTTTTCTGTCTGGGCTGCCACACAAAAATGCAGGAATATAATTTTCGGTGCATGCACTGGGTTTGCATAAAACTGTATACATACATATGTAAATTGTTTGTGTTTTTCGTATTTTATTTGACAGAATTGCAAGAGCTGCGTTTAACAAAGTATGAAATACTATTCTACTCAGCTAAACCAATAAAAAGCTATATTCTAATTATTTAATGTAAATTTAGAAAATTATAATTCTTATTGGCTACAAAGACTTGACCAAGAAGACACGAGGAAAGTATTTTGCACGGCTATTTTGAACATCATTTGTTATACACACACATACAAACGTCTGCATCATGTCTGGTATACATACATATATGTCAGCTGCGCTACGAAGAGGGGTACATAATATTTAGCGTTGGCTGCAAAAGAGTCTGGACCATTCAGATGTGATTTAGTTCCAGAATATATTATCTTGACTTACAGACATACCATATAATCACAAATTCACATATATTCGATACTCAAACGTGTTCTCAATAATGGAAATACAACGGCATTGAACTTGAAACCACTGCCCTTGCGCCGAGCAAAGACATTCTACCTGGCTGTCTGCTGTCCACGCTGTCTCGCCGCATTAAGTGCAGCCGAGTGTCGCATAATGCATGCATAACAAAAACATCACGAAGAATAATGCACCCAATCCGGTTATAAAACTGTGACACACTTTTTAGCTACTAATTTGAGAATTGAGAAAAGAACCAAGGGCTTTAATAATGAATGTAAAGAGATGTGTGTAAAGAGTGAGTGCCTCTATCTACCAGTCTCTTCGATGACGTTTAGTATCGATTGGCGACATGTTGCTTCTTCTGGAGCCACGACTTCACAGTAATTTCAAACGCATAACTTAATCTAAATTCCTTTTGTAACTCAACAAATTAGGTACAAATAATTAATAATTTTTAACCAGCCCTTCAATCTACTAAATAGTACGATAATGTCCCGATAGTACGATAAACGTCTTACCCACGACACCAGAAAAGGGTTTAAACTATATCGGTTCTCCTATTAATATTTTACTACAAACATAAATGCATTTGAACTCACCATTTATTTTTTGTTTAAATATCTACATGCGCCAAACGTGGGTCACATGGTCACAGTCAATAAAAATCTTCTGCTATTCTGTCAATTATACCCATTTATTGTGTGGGCGTTGACGTGTATGACACACTTCAAGAAAAACAAACTGATTCGCGCCTTTAATTGTTGTCTGCTGAGGTTTGAAATAAAATCTGCAATTAAAAAAAAATTCATATCAATAATTAGAGTGCCATAAAATTTGCGACGGAAATATGTATATATATATAATATACTAACATAAAATATATATTGGTATATCAATAAATATACTATTATAACTATAAACTGTGTGATAAAAAGCTAGCTTATATTTTTCTTAAGAGGTCCTCAGTAGTTATGAACTATATATGAAGTCCCATATGTCCGCAGAAACGAACCCCCTGTGCATGCCAACCTGCTTTCGAATAAAGCAGTATACATTTACGAAAATCGACTTGCTCTTTTTCAACTTGGGAGCCCACTCGAGCCCACTCTTGAAAAATTCCGCCATTACACGTGGCTCTGTAACTTTTATCTAAGTAAGAACAGATGTGAGGCATGCCGTACTCACTTTATTAGTAAAACAGACGAAGTTTCACGATACTCAATCTTCTACGTTAATGAATGCGATTATCGATGCAACACTGACAGCACTGCTGACCGGTATTCACGCGTGACTTCAAGCGCTTTCAGCCAATATACATACGCACACAATTACGCCTTTCCCTAGAAAGACTACCGTGATACGCTTTGAAGTTAGCAAATTAAAACCAGTAATAAACAAACTCAATATTTTCTACAAATAATGGTTGAAGAATTAGGCAAAACCAGCTGCATGTGACTTAATGACATAACTTGGATTTGCTTTAAAACCTTAGCAAATATCTACGAAATTAGGAAGACATGTAGATGTAAACAAAAAGTATGGTAACGAATTTCAAAACTCTTCCCTCGGTAAACATGTTTAAACTTTATTAATTAAAAATAGCATGCGTATCTAAACGAAGGCCCCCATTAATTATAACTGGACATGGCTACTTAAGAGTTATTAAATATTGACACTTCAATTTTCGTCTGTCGACTCTGTTTATTTTGTTTTGAGCTTAGCAATTCTCATTCCAAATGTTAAGATTTTGCTTCTAATGCACTGATAAGACGATATATTGGCAGACGCACACACCAACCCAATACGTCAAGTGGTACTTGAATCCGAATGACGTAACCTTTCCTACGTCATACTTTTGGAACCTCCCTACGTTCCTGCCCAGTTAGTATTAGCCTTTATATTCTTCTAACCTTTGGGTTTTGAATCCACTCCCCCATCTGCCTCAGTAGCTTCTTTTAAGCAGGCTGCAACTAATTCCGAACTCTAGTGCCGTTATGCACTCTAGCTTTGATTGTTGTCTCATCGGTCAACAGGAGGTTGAACGGTCGCTGCCATCATAAATGTTTCGCATTTTCCGTCATGGTTTTAATTTTGATAAGTTCTTTAATACAAACACACACAACTGATCGGAGTAAAAATTAAACGTTCTTCATTTTAAAATATAGTAACGGACAGTTACTGTTAATAACCCTTAAACACCGAATTGCATCTTCGAAATACATTTTCTTGTCAAATAAAAACAAAAGACAGGTAAATTTTTTTTCTTTGGAAAGAGTGTTTATACTACTTATGTCTACCAAGGTATATACTGATCATGTGTAATAAATCTCAATCAGCTGAACGATGCCTATTGCAGCCATATTTGCTTTCTTATAAATAGATTAAAATGTTTTTCGTTCAAAGACTGTCACTTGTTCGTGAAAACTTCTTTCAAAATAGAAGCAAGCACTAATGGACCTGTCATCAAAAAAGCTCATTTCAAAAAATTCACATTCGTTTCTATCTACTCGAACTTCGTCATTGATGGGTTAAAATGACGTAGACGAGAGCGGATCTAATATTTGTCCCAGGTGTGACGATAAGGCCACCGTCAGCGCCAATGCCGCTGTGCTGTCTACTCCTAAAAGAAGGCACTTTTCGCGGCGCTGCTCCCAGCGTTTGCGTTTTGGCAGCGCTGCTAAAGCAGTCAGCCGAGCCCATAAATAAATGAAAAGGCGAGAAAGCACCCGCAACAAGTTCACAACCCAGGCATTCGTTTATTACAGCGGTTCGATCGATCGGCTCGCTGCGACTTGTTGTTTATTGTTTGAGTCGTGCATTGCCGGACAGACGTGCTTTCGTGTCGTTTCCCATATCACGAGTATTGATATTTTCCACATTCTGTGCATATATTGGTGAAGTGCCTAATTACCTGTTACCTCCGAGTGTCCAGTTGTCGCCGGTAGTTTATACTCGTATTCTCTGAGTACGTGGTTTTGAATAAGAGTTGTTTTGATTTAATTCTCACGCGACATTACCGACATCCTGGTGCGAGTGCTCTATCTACATATGTAAATATTTTTATATATTTGTGCGCCGACAGCCATTGGTAAATAGACCACCGTGTATATGTGATTGCAACGCGTTCAACAGGCGCTTACCGTTAGCTGTCGTCTGCCCAGTGGATAGTTTAAAATTTCGATTTCTATCGTGCATTTTAGCAGTGTTATCCTGTCATTAAGAGCAGCAAAACTAAAACAACGAAACCCACCAATCAATGATAGTGTTATTAAAGCAAAGATCGATAATCAGTGATAAATAATTCGTTGGCGCCAAGCGTTCACCGCCCCATAGACAGAGCACATGAAAATGTTCACATAAAGTTTTGCGGAAAATAAATTTTAGTTGTGGGTTTATTAAAAGAATAGTAAGTACCACTTACATCGGGTCCTATTGTGATTGTTTATTTATCAGACTTGTGCATTTTAAATGGCAACATTACTTTGTTGAACTGGTGACCAAGGACGGAAGTTTTCATGTAGCGATAAATTTTATATAAACTACTGCGAACTAGGAACTTTCATTCAAATAGCAGTTTTGACGTGATAAATCGCAAACTGCTGACTTAGCTTATGAACAACTCCAACAGGCCTGAACTAACTGAATATGAACCAATTTTCCAATGATAGAATTATGGGAAAAACGTTTTACAAAAAAGACAAAAACAACATTCGAGCAGTTCATTTTATCAAGTTGGTCTCGAATTTATTTCAAAGCATAGGTGAGAGAAGAAATGCTTACAATTCCAGATTAAACTTCTTTCTAGACCTCTCGAAAAAAACTCACTCCACCACTTGGTGTACACTAGTAAAGTATCAGTTCCAGTATCACTTGTAATCAACTTCGTTATTTATAAGTAAGGGATGTGTTTTACATCATATTTGTGTCTTTATAACTCGCCTCGGGTTGTTTTGTGCGATCAATTAAAATGTGTGAATTTTGTTTGGTTGTTTAGCAGTCTATATCGCAAAATTTGGACGATAGTGTCCTCGAACTCCTAACAAATGTAATGGCATTGTTGTTCTTTACTCACAGAAGAGAATAATTATACTTCGAATTTCTCAGTTATTGATAGTGTTCTATTATTATGTGTCAAAAATCACTTCTGCTTCAAAAAAGCTTTTTATGATCGCTATCACTTTTTATAACTGTGATGTTAAACGCAGTGGAAATTTTTTCAAACGATAAATTGAAAGCTATTCATTTTAGATATGGTACGTTTATTCATTGTATGAGACGCTTAATTAAGGCAATCGTAAAAGCATAAAAATACAATGCAAACACTCGTAAAATTGGAGACAAAGAAGTGTTGTTGTTTTTATTTTCACTGGCACATATTAATATCTCTGGATATTTGTCAGAAAATAAATTGGTGTGTGAATGATTTGGTTGTGATGTGTTAGATCAGCACCGATGATGGCAGTTAAAGAAGGAGTCGAGTTGTCTGTTTGTTTGTAAAAATATTGATTATTCGGGACGGATGCGGGTTATGCGTCGCGTGATGCGTTGTGATCGCTTCGAAATTTTTTAATGGTGCTATCATAAATAATTGTGCACCCGTTGAAGCTTTTCGGCAATCAAACCTATATGCTTTACCGATATCTTCTTTACTTCTTTTTACTTTCCATTGTTTCCATCCCAGTAATTCTGAATGTCCTCAATTGAGTGTTTGTATTGGGTAATTAAGCAGATTATACAAAATAAGACAGCACGCGAGAACGTATAAAGACATACCAAACGAAAATATATATGGTAATTGCCTTTGTAAACACCTTCAAATAGTACAGTTATTCCAAACCACCCAGCTCATTAATGTTCCTTCACAACTTATCGACAGCGGCTAATTTTTAACGTAAATCTTCCTCTTGTCATTGCAGTTGGGCCAGTTGAGGAAATATATTGTAATAAAAGCCCGAATGCCGAGATTGTTCAAAGACGAGTTTTGGAAGTCTGTTGTAGTACCTTAAATTGAACATTAAAACAAAAGAAAATACAAGAAATTCAAAATATTAAAAAGGAAACGGTTTTGTTAGATTCTTTTAGTTTGTTGCTTTTGTTATTGTTTTACATAATCAACAATAAAAGTGGCTCGCGCTTGTTCGGAGGCAAAATGAGTTTCAGCGGACCGAGCGGACCACGTGATAACGTGCGAAAATTATCCTTTCTGGGCTTCAACACAAAGAAGGTGAGTTCATAAAATTATATTTGTATTGTAATACTAAATTCATAATATTCAATATTTTACACAACCAGTTTGACAGCCTAAAAAGTTGGGTTTTTGGGAATTCAAATAAAGCAAATCTACTGCATCCATTATTTTAAAATTTTAAAAGTATATTTATAAATATTTTTACACACTAAAGGTTTTGAAGAAAAAAAATTAAATCCTTGTCGACTTACAAGCGAGCTTTATGTTATTTTTTAAGGTATATATCGAAAAATGCAAAGAACAAACCATTTTCGAATTTACACACTAGGTGTGCCTCTTAATTTTAGAGAAAGCACGTTCATTGCGGCTGCACCGAACCTATATTACCCTTCACATGTGCATTTCTTATAGTAATTTTATGTATTCCATAACTAAATCAAAAAACCTGACCGGCCAACGGCTTGCATCTAACAGAAAACGTTTTTCTACTTTTTTCAAATCACCAAAACCAAACCAAAAAATCGCTCATTGATGAATTTCTTTATCTTAATTCTGATCGGTTTTGTTGAATGACAGCTATATGCTACAGTGGTCGGGGTATTTAAATATATTGAATATACCATAATGCAAAAATAGGCTGTTGTATTAAAAACCGCCCGAAGATAAGGTTTTGTTAGCCCATAATAGTATTTATGATCACGTACATAGTTACTTTCAGTTTTATTTTTATTACACGGATTGCCCCGGGCCACGCGGTAATTAATAAACTGAATTTTCTAACTCAGTCGAACCTTTATAGATTAAGTGTGAAATGAGCTTATGTCATTGCCATCAAACAGATGAACATGTTGCTGATAGTCATGCAGGAATCAATCCCTGTAGTAATCAATAAGCATGCGATAAGGAGAAAGCTAAAGAAATGTTTTACGTTAAACAAACAGCATCAGGGTTAGCATGATATCTATTCAGATGAAGCTTTTGTCAGAAACCTTTACGGAACTTATAATCCTTTCAATTGAATTATCCAATTTGGAACCAACAAAAAGTTTTTGAAATCCCTCGGTACTACCCTACTGTATTTCTCAATCTTTTACTTGAAGTATAATAAATTTAGCGCGTGAAAACAAATCGTCGCCGTAACACACCTCCTAAAGTCTTTGACTGTGCGAGAGAAAGTTTTGCATAATTGTGAGCAAACACACTATAATCATCACCATAAAACGATAGTTTTATCGAAATTATGAATTATTACTTAGTTAGAGGAAATATAAATATATCAACATTTACATAACGTAGAACAAATTGCTTTATGGCGAAGTTTTCTTTGTGTACTCGCCGCTCAAAACCTGCCCTGAGGTATTTTCTTCACATATATACCGAATACTGCCGTATTAATGGACATTACTCATGAGTGCAGCCTTCGCGTACTTACGTGACGCGCTTGAAATTCAATATTGTTTATACTTGCAAATAATTAACAATAACAAAAAGTTTAGTGTGTCTAGTTTTCTCTAAATATATAATGCCTTATAAATATCGGAAATAAAACTCAAATATAAAGTCGTGTTCACTTCGTCGATTCCCTACCACCGGCGCCTTGTCTCTTTTCTTGTTTTCTGAAAGCAACAACTCATTAAAGCGGCATCCAATTATATAAGATTATGTCGATTTCTTAGTTTAAGGAACGTTGTTTGTTCGATTTGTAACATTTGTGAAATTGTAAGTACTGGGCCATGTACTATAATTGTTAGTCCACTCCACATCTATCGACCTGGCTATACTTAGTAAAACATACTTTCGAATAATTAATTCGATGGTGGTGATGGAAGTGATAAGCTTTTCAGTAAATCAAATGAAGTGGTGGTATCCGATAACTGCTACTGAACTTATCAAACAATGCTAGAGCTATTTGGAAATGATAAGCTTGACGTTGTTTTTAATTAGCAAATTAAATTTTGTGAGATAAATTTAATTTCCTGTCTGCAGCCAAGAAAGCCACAATCGTGACGCAGTAGAAGAGATTATTACTTTTAATGGATAGGAATTTGATTTCTAGATTCAATTAACCATCATCCAACCACCGACGTGTATTCTAACTGACTTTAGTGAGAGAATTTTCTATGTATGCATTTGGATTCAGCAGTTAAAATAATAATTCGGGGATTTTTGTCACTCAAGATCTTTTCCAACTATTCATTGAGGTAATAAAAGAAGATGAATATGGTAAATATCTGGGCATACACCTTGTTAGAATGACTTAAGTCGACTTAAGCAACTTTGACAAATGGCCAGAGAAATAAGTGATATTTAGGAAGATCCCATTCTAGCTCGAATCTCTTAGCCGCTAACGAATAGAAGCCCTGCCAAACAAAAGTTAGTTGCAAGTATAATCCAACATTCGTTTCCTTTGAGGGTAGTGACGTCAATAAGCTTCTTAACATTGAAGCTGCAACAAATGTATATATACTAAAGCTGCTGTTATTGCATTTCAGTGTTTAGCAAAAGCTTTTGTCTACCACCGATTACTGTTAACTGGCCACTATTAGCTTGCGTTATGTACAATTTCCATATGTAGATATTTACACCGTAATGGCTATAAATCCATTTAAAAGTGTGATAGTCCATTTACAATATAGCGCTGTACGTAACGGTCATAAATACGGTGAGCACAGTGGGTCTTCAAGTTGTACGATTTCAGAAAGAAGCGCCCTAAATTCGGTGTGTAGTAAAGTGCTCACAATTCGGCTAACAGTAATTAAGTATTGATAATTAAATTATCGTGTGATATCCTAGTGAACCACGGCAATACAAGGGGAAGTAAGTTTAAAAATTCACAAGTTAACTGAACCAGGGAATAAATTGTTAGCAAACACAAAGTGAATTATTAAAAAATTAACATATTTTCGCGCCCGTCTTAGCCCGTGACACCATAATTAAATTCAAAGGCTAAAACCAACAGCATATATATAGCGATAGGAGTTTTGTACTCCAGCAAAAATAATTACTTTTGAATGCTAAATGCATAGGCACCACTCATATGTTTTGTGAGCAGTAGCCAGCGACCTCTGACCTTTGCGTCAGGCGCGTTGACACATTCAACTAGCCAGAAAGTGCGAACAGGCTGCCCCGCTGCGAGTTCGTGCAACACTGGTGTAAGCAAGAGCAAGTGATAGTACAAAAGATAACAACAACAACGGACAAGACAACAAGAAATCAATATTCGTGGTCAAGGTCAATGTTAACGCTTTGGCAAACTTGCACTCAAGCCAAAAAATGCTTATTGACCAACTGTTGACTACGCCAGCGGGGGCTAGCGTTAAGGGATGGGCCAATATACTCGCACTGGCACTTGTGGTTTTCTGTGAGCGGCGAGAGAACGAAGACACCAACTACGTGGGTGACCGTTGTGGATGGACATTGCAAGCCGTTGACTTTTTCAAAGACCCACTTGCTTACATAAATAAAAAAAATATCAAGTATTTGTTAACCAAAATATACGCATTTGCACCTCGGATGTGAATTTGACTATAACACCTTCCCCAAATAGCCAAGACAGTTAACTGAGCGAAAAAGGCAAATGAATTATTTATGCGCTGCACGTGCTATGCTTGTGGAATAGACTCGGTTGTGTGAGTGTGTGTTTCGATTACGTCTAACCACGTAACGCGTGGATTAACAAACAAGCAGCCAATCTGTTTTTGCGATTACAGCAATCTTACGCCTTTATCGTTTTTCTAAAGGACGCAATACTATATCCTCCTGGGGATGGGATGAGAAGCTGCATCAGCGCATATACACATACGAGCGTCGATCTGCTATTGAATCTTGAGGATTCTCGTTAGTAATTATTCACTCTTGGTTTGTGTATACACTCATTTGAATGCAAAAATTAACATTTGCTAGTGCTTTCGCATTTATAAATCCCTAGGTATACATAAACTCTCGAAACAATTTAAATTATTTATCCAGCCTATTTTTCCTGAAGATTCAAAGCTTCCATATTTTTATTGTGGACCATAATATTGCATATCACTTACTCAAACAAAAGCGCGGGTTAAACTTACTCTCTTCATGGCACATCTGGCTGTGTCATTCCTCCTGTCAGTTGAATGTCAGCAGACATCTATTGACTTGCGATTCATGTAACAGCGCATTGCTGCATGGCACAGGGTGAACGAGATTCTAGGTTGGCTAAAAATAACGAAATAATTTTACTGTGTTAAATAATAAATTTATTTTATATTTGAATTATTACTGCTACGCAGTCATACACATACTCATCCAGTGGCTCGCTTTTCGTTCGGAAAAACTTAATCCGTGTTGCTTCTGTTCTCGCATTGTGTGCATTGTTTCCCCTTCACAATGTGACTAAACAAAACGAGAAGTCGTGAAATATGATATAACCAGATCGAGCAACAGGCAGCCCACAACTCATTGTCTACAGTATTGTTATTGAAATGTACACGCCATCGCCCGCACAGTTTTGTATTATATTGTGGTAAAGCGAAATGCTTTTCTCGTGACTTTTAGGCAGAAAAAAATAATTTTCAGACATCTAATTTTGAACGGATGCAAACGAAAATATTCATATTTAAACTAAATATAAATAATTAAGTTCACTTTTCCTAAAAAATGTTTGAAGACGACAGTTAAAGAGTCATAATTTGAAGGAACATAACTTATTTGTTAGTTACCGCCATCCCTGAAATCCATCAGAGCGGAGTGCCAAAAGAGACTCGCAACACTTGTCAGAGGATATTTCAAATTCGCAAGCCCAAATGCGAATGGATGTAACACGCTTATAAATACATAAATGCCATTGTGTTGGTAAGCAGATCCCAAAGGGACACATGTGCAAGCTGAGACGAGTAGTGAATTAAATGCTAGACAAACTATTATGCTATAAATATGCTTTCAGGTTGTGTGAAGTTGAAACAGAAGTTTTCTTACTCCCTCAGCTTTCTACATTATAGTTAGCAAGCTAACTTTATGAAAAAAACACGATGGATCAAGTATACTTGTAGTTACCCAATGAAAAGATTTAAATTTTTGCTGGCTACCCAAAAATCAGCTATAAAAACATCGGAAATGGGTTAATCGAACCATATATCAAAGATGTCCGTAGAGATTACGTAGAATAACGGCAAAGTTCCAGTAAATAAGAATGTGCTTCTGCTATAACAACAACAACAAAATATGAAACGAATTTAAGCAAACTCCCGCAACTGCCCTCTCTGGGGTGTGCGTAGCGCCTGTGCCTAATCGGAATCTAGTAAAAGTAAACACAGCTTTTCACACATAGAAGTGCTTGCGCTGTTGTGTGTATGCAAAGTCTTATCCGCTTTGGCTGCAACAAAGGCCTTCATTTGCACCCGCGACTGCACAGCGAAGCATACATACATATACACGTGTGCGTGTATGCAGAATTACTTATGTGGCCTTGATTGGCCTTGACCCTCGCTCATAACTGAACTTTAAGCGCCAGCTGAACAGCCAGCGCGCAACCCTGCCAGTAACCCCCTCGCCATGCAAGGAGAGTCGGAAAGTCATGTGCTCGCCACGCTCCGCTCACAGGCGCTCAATCGTTCAGTTGCTCTGCTTGTTTGTACTAAGAACCAGTTAAACAGTCGCTGTTAACGCTCACTGTCGGTGTTGTTGTTGTATTTAAGCCGCTAACGTCGGAAGTGTAGAGAGACACACAGATAAAATATGAATGCCAAATAAAAGGCAAAAGCAGAATTAAAAGAATCTTCTCGGGTGCATTCGCACCATTCCACCTGTTGGTAGTCGAGCCAACAGGGCGTATGAGCAACACATATGAAGGTGCGAGAATGTACATATTTTATATCATACTCGCGCCGTCAGAGAAAATTGCGGATATACCCTCGCGGCGCTCCGCTCCCGCGGCGGCCAGGGGAAACTCGCGTAAATGGCACCAGGAAATTCAAAGGAATCAGCAGAAGTATTTTGTGGCATCTTATTCACCTGCAAGATTTGGGTGAATACAAATGAAAGATTTACTTATATTCGTCTGCCATAATGAGCGTCCTTTAGTGGAATTGAAATTGAGTACACCTATTACGTCAACAAGTTTTCTTTGCAGAAATAGGGTGACCAGGCGTGTACAATAACAGCAAATCATTTTGTAATTTTCGACTTTTGCTTGTAATTTAATATACACACGCACATCAAGTTGATAAAAATAAGTGGATAGGTAGGTAGATAGGGTGGATCTTTGAAGACGCAACTTCCGAGATATAGCCAAGAAGTAGCGATTCCTTTCCTATACAAAGGCTTGCATTCGCATCGAATATGTTCCACAGTTGCTTCCTCTTTCTCTTGGCAGCTTCCACAGTATTCGTCTTATGGTAGCGCCAGTCTGGTGTTAGTACTCCTACTAAATTTTTATGTCATTTCTTTGGAATTTCAATAGTCGACATGTGCGGCCCATATTTCATTCAGCCAAGTTTTTCTGCTTAAATAACAGGTCCGGGAATGTTTCCATCAAGACATAAATCATTTAACATATTATATTTGAAATTGAAATATGAGATAAAACTTTTAAATGTGGGCCTATACTCCGCTAATAAGCTGAAAGTGTTTCCCGAGTTTTGTTCAACCAATGTGCATTGTTTTATTCTGGTCACACCTAAATCCCCTGAGCGGCCCGGCGTAACTGCAGCTCTCAAAATTTCAAAGTCTGCTAACAGCTGTTAGCTTGCAGAAGTGACAAGCGAACAGTGCCGCCCCGAAATGCCCTGAGCAAGCTGTGATTCCGCATAGCTCACGCAGGGAGTGTGCGCAACGCACGGCGGCCATCGGTGGAAGAATAGTAGGAGCCACAATAACAGCAATGCAAGATACACTGGCACACTTTTGTGCCAAAGTCTTTTTACACATGTCAGCAGCAACACTTGTCTTCGAGAGCGCACACACAGTCGTCGGCGGACGGTAGTGCGCTAAATGGCTTATCCTGCCACTGGCGGTGAACACTTTTGAAACCTGCCTGTTCTGGGACATTACTGTCCGTAGGTTCTTGTGTAGCGGCAACGACACACAATCATCGTCGGCGGTATATACTCGTCACAGCTTAAATAACAACTTGAGTAGCTTTAGATAGTGAAATGGCAAGAAAAAGTGATAAATAACTCCACAACAGCATCGAAAGTTGGCGCTTAAATTAAATTTGTTATTTGACATTGAAATTTGACACATGTTGATGTCGTTGACGGTGCGGGCGTGTGGAGTGCAGGCGGAAGCGTTCGGCGGGCTTTGACACTCCCCACTAACGGCATATCGTCTTGGCTAGAAAGTGCTAATCGAATTTTTAGTGCAAAGTGTCAATTTATTTTGCTTACTTGCAACTAAAACGCTTAGAAGTGAACTTTTTGTGACTTTTTCGATGTGATTTATGGCTTTCACGTTGCAATGTCGTAAGTGGCGTTATGTTATGTTATGTAAACGTTGAATGCTAAAGAAGATGCTTCGGCTGTGACGTAGTGTGAGCCATTGAAGGTCCTTCAAGGCGTTTTTGCCTGGATGTGTGTAAGGTAAAAAGGCAAAAACAATGAACGAGGTGAATATGGCCATGTCGAGCTCGGTTGCCCAAAAGCCTAGCGCACAGTTATAAATATCCGAGTCGATTATCGCCACTGCAGAGTGCTAATGTGTGGCGTTGTGACGCTAAAACCATATAGAACCCTTCGAAAAAAAAATTAAAAAATAAACACTAAGCATACTTGAACACATGGACATTTATTTCAAACACATTAACGAGCGGATAATGTGCGAAGCCCTGTTGATGGTTGTGTAATCGCAGGGTGGCAGCGACACGCCTGTTACAAAACTGCTTGATGACAGCGTCTGTTGGGGTGCCAAAGATGATTATATTATAAATTTTATAGTGTGCTAATGGTACGCTTTATTCAAAAAAGTGGGTACCTCGTTTTCGATATTTAACAGTGCCCTTGAAAACGCTGCATACAATTCAGCGAAGTACGTAATGAAAATTATTTGTTGGTGAACAGAGAAAACTTTCTTGTGCTTCCAGTTGAGATGCCAAATAATTCAAAAGTGCGTAAAATTATGAAGTTCAATTTTTCCTCAGAACAAATTAGGCGCGTACTATTTAAAACCACGAAAATAAAATTTTTGTTAATTTACTTAAATAATACATTCGGCAATTGTATATGTGAATATTTTTGTCGAGATGATTTGATTTAAATTAATGCCCATTAATTCGCATAAAACTTTCTTACTATTATTTTTATCTTAAACGCAAAGGAAGTCAAGGTGAAATACTGGTGGAAACTGTAGCAACAACTTATCGCGGCCAAAACGTTGACCAAAAATTTCATCTTGGTATCCTAACTGTGAATTCTGTGTATGTAATCATTCTACAACTAAAATCCGCTAATGGCCATCTCTCTTTACTTCCATTCCGATTAGAACCTGAAAGTGATTTTTAGCCGTAGTTTGAAAACTGTATAACTATCACCGCGCTTGAAAATAATAGTATAATGGTGAGATACAAATTCTTTCAGGTGATCAACTTCCTGAAATAAATTCGAAACACAAAGTCTCGCTCCGGACATTACCATGAAACATACATATCGAAAGAACGATATCTATAATAATGCAATTACTAAAGTTTAGAAACATTCATGCCCATGTCCGAGTGTTGGTAAAAACTTATTTGTGAAAGATAAATCTCCAAAGTGAACAACAACATAAAGATAGTGGAAACTTAGACATTCCGAATGTTCAAATAGCCAACTGTGCAGATTGGCACGTCCAAGCAGCTCAGCACACTTGGCGGCTAGCCAGTCCACTGACGGTCATGGTCTCGGTCGCAAACTTACCCTTCCGGAAAACGTTCGTGCGCTGGGAAGATAGGACACGTACAGTTCCAGAGACCTTCAATGAATTTTAGTTTTAGTTTATATGCCAAATAAGAAGCAATAAAATAACACATACATTCGTACGTACATTCGTTTGCAAATAGTGACAAGTGTGAAAAATGAAAGAAACAAACAATAACAATTATAAATATTGTGAGCAACAAAGAAAACAGCGAAGCATACAAACTTGAAACGGTGCAGGGAACCGTAATATTTGGAAATGTAAGTGGGCCAGTCGTGGAGACGCTTTAGAACCTGAAAGCATAGACTTTTAGTTTTTAATATTCAGCTCAGTGAAGTTCATTTAGTCCATGTACTTCGATGCCATTACTAAGATCTAATGTACAACTTTTCTTAATTACATCATATTTACATCACTCAAATATGACTAACTGAAAGGAGAGTACAAATTAAATGTCCTTTACAGGAGACATGCATCGCAAATCGACGAAGGAACTCCTTAAGACACTGCAATTACAGGTCAAAAGTATTTGTCCAACATAATTTTCGTGGCATTCTGTGTCAATGTTATGTATAAACTCGCTCAGGATTTAAATATTGGAAGATGAGAATCCAACCCACATCCCAAAGTTCACAACATGTCCGAGTTCGTTGCTCTGCTGCAATGCACACTCGTACCAAACAGTCATCTCCGGCAACTTTTGCGAAAAAGTCCATTATGTGGCTTCCTTGTAGCCACAGCTGCGAAAGTTGAGTAATCCACTAATTGCATTTCATTTATTGTATTTACAGACACATGCATATGCGAGCGCTTCGGTGCGAGCAAATGTGTCGCCGGGAATTGTCTAAAGAAATATAATTCGCTCATTTGCGAATGGAATTTTTCGAACATGCCAACCGGCATAATGACCTTGCTGTTCAATACCCCATTGAAGCCTTCCTTTCAAAGTATACATTTAGCTTGCTCTAATCATTATCTAAATAAGGGATAGTAATTACTATAAAAAGCTGATAGAAAATGTATAGAATATATTTAGGTTTGTGGATAATAAAGCCAATTGATGTGGTTTTATTAAAATCTTGTTAATTTTATCCATTTTTATTGAATAGTACTTGCAATATTGTTCCCCACAGTTTCATATTGACATCGCTTTGTTTGCGCGCTCTATTTCCCTTCATTCTCTTTGTACGCAACCTGAGTTTTCGCTCTTTCTTTGATAAGCGTTACAAAACAAAGATGAATATCGATTCTCACCTGAACACAATAAAACGGAACACACCGTGCGATTAGCATGTAAACATGTAAACAAAAATAAATAAACTTCTGTCTTATTACTTACTAAGGAAAAAACTCTATTATGAAGATCTTTATCTTGATGTGGACATAGCAGTTTGTATGGCAGCTATATCTTAGCGGTTTAATGGAGGAAAGGACGTGTACAAACTTCAGATTGAGATATCGAACCAGAGGGACTAGTTTGCGTACATATGTATATACAACCAGACGGACATGTGGGCATGGCTAAATCAACTCAGCTCGTCACACTGATCATTTATGAACATATGTATATACTTTATAGGGGCCCCCGAGTGTTTCAAACTTCGTGGCAAAGATACATCATATACCCTATCCAGGGTATAAAAATATTAATCTTTTAATTCCCTCCTCGATATAACTGCTGAGTGCTATGTTTATTAGGATAAGCTTATATACTTGCATATACTCGTATACATACATATAATAAATTGAATTTACCATTTACGAGTATGTACCCCCCAAACATATTTTCTCAGATAACATGTAACGATTACTTTACGTTTTCTGGGGAAAACAAAAACGTTCTATTTATAAATATAAACAAATATTAGCTTTTAGTAGTAATTGCCACTGAAATATTTGTGTACTTGCCACATGCACACCCACACCTCATTCGACGAATTGAAAGCGAGTAGCGCAGCGCGTTCGCTGCCGGTTAATGACATTGTTTGCCGATTTCCGGATAAATGTAACAAAGACACTACAATAACTGGTGCGTTATGTCGACATATCTACTTTAAATCGCATTTACCGTTATTTTTACGAGTACACAGCCACCTGCACGAAAACTGCTGTGGATACTGCATGACGCCGTCATATAACATACGCACATACATATTTCAGAGAAAATCTCCTAACCTTTGCGGTTTTGGTTCAAGGCTACTCGAGATTTCGACTTGAAAACTGTGGTGTTGACTTGTTGACTTTAATTGTAGTGGTCTAGAAGTCAGTGATATACCCAAATTCTTACCGTTACCAATGTATATATGCCACCAATTATAAGAAATGGCACAAAACTTAAAAATTCACTAGTTTCATACCATAAAATGAGGTTTATTTGAGAAACCTCCTTATAAGATATTGGACTTGGTGGGATTGATGAACGGGCCTCTCTATAGCAAAATTAATACTCGTATACCATATATGTATTAGAACGGATTTACTCATGCTTATTACTATTGAAGGTAGAAAGTGAATATCCTTTCTGAAGAACCCTTAAAAAAATTTACATAATTCTGCCAGCCTCTGGTTAAACAAACATCTACTTACATCAACTCATGTATGTACATACCTATGTATTGGTATATGATATTTGTACATACATATGTATATGCAGCAATGACGGCGTTATTACATCACACTTTATGATATATTTCCCCATCAAATATTAAATTGCTTTTATTGAAACCAATTATTGACACTTTGTTTTGCTTCATTTAATCAAACCTGCACGAATTTAAGTTCTCACAATTGTGTTCACTTTGTATGCATATCTCCAAGAACATTTTGTTGCCGTTATAAATAAATCAGCCTCGTCACTAAATATTACTTCCCCAACCTAAAGAGGTTTAAGAACTATTTTTTTTAACCAATTTTGTTATGGCCGATTAATCTCTTCAATTGATTGAGTGATTCAGGGCGTGAATTACACATGTTGATATCTTTCACTTACAAATACTACAAATCCGTAAAACGCTGATACTTGATGTCCCCAAGTAAAGATCGTGCCTGTGTCAATTCATTTATATGATTTATTTTTAGGGGTTTCACATTTTCTGACGATTTTCCTTCGAGTTTTTATTTTTAGATTTCCTTATTCCTTGCAATTTTTCTGAGTGTAGTGAGTTAGAAATATATTTTAAATGTGTAGCTTTACTTATATAATAGGCAGTCATTTAGAATTACGAGCTGCAGAGCTCTTCACCTTCGATTGATTTAAGCGAATGTAAACAAACTGAGAAACGAGCGAAATTTCAGACAGTTTAACAATCATTTATGGTAAATAGAAGTCACATGACTTACATGCATGCGTTCCATTCTATTCACTCAATTGAAATCCACTAATAGTATTGTACCCCAGAAAGTTGGACATTCGGCTGAAATATGCGGCTTCATGTATTCGTGTTTACAATCAGCCGCCACATAGTTCGTGTGTATATACATGCAACGTGTTCGGCCACACGAGATGCGTTTCAATGATGAACTTCACAGCTATGCATCAGTCAATATTTGATTTGAGGCATCTTTCGCCTGACATGCCTTGATCGGTCGTGTCGTGTGCTCTTAAACAGGCGGTTGTAAGTTTGCGGCGTCTGTCGAATCGGTCCAAACAATCTTACATAGTCATCCACGTGTAATTATAAGACACTTATCTTGCCCAGTGATGGCTTAATTTTTTTATTGTTAGACGCACTTATGGCTAAGACTATACTGTGGCTAAGACGACATCTGAATCTTTTTCTGCTCTTCTTTTACAGTCCACCGGGAATGAGGATCCAAACGAGGTTTACTTGGATTCGGAAATGGAAAAAGTTTTCGCCGGTCCAAGTGCCCATAAGGAAAAGTTCGATGTAACGACATTTCAGGACGCAAATCAGCCGATCGGATCGTATAAGCAGAGCAACGGTAAGTCGAAATTTCGCCTATTTTTGATTTCGAAAGCAAAATAAAAACAAGTCAATGAAATTTAAATTGTCAACAGCAAAAAGTTTAGCATCAATCATTTAGCGAAAATAAAAAAACAGGAAATTGAAAAAAGATACATGAAAATTTATTTAAAAGAATGTTAAGGAAAAAGTTAAGCATAAAAGTGTTACAAATAAATAAATGCTATAAAAATTATTAGAAAATTATTTAAAATTATGAGTTCACGTGTTGGAGACATCGAAATTGATCAGGCTTCACCCATTATAATTACAGTGCATCGTAAAAGTGAACTGAACATTGAAGAAGATTCCGAATATGAAAGTACAACGGATCCCGTTAATCTACAAAATTATGATGACCTACCTGAGGACTACCCACTAGTATCAGAACGCGCTGGACACGGTGACCACTCGGTAAGTTTAATGACTAGGAAGAGACGTCATCGGTCAAATAATTGAAAACCACGCCAAGGAAATCGTGAACAATAAAAAGACGCTTGAGATGCCTTTACAAATATTCAGCAGAATACTACAATAACAGCATTTATGTATTTCTGTCAACAGGATAATTCCGCCGAGGAAAAGCAGGTGCACTTCGGAAAGAAAAAGGCTGTAGTAACACCGCCCACTTTAGTATACGATGAACAACCCGCTGACAATATACACGAACGAAAACGACGAAGAAGGTACATAGATAAATAAATACATACAAACACATCTCTCTTTACGTGAATTATTTTTACAATTAATGCTCACGTTTTTCACAATTACTCTTCATTAACAATTGGTAATGAATAACTGTGCTTTATGATTTATACTTTACTTTACAGCCGCCATCAGTATTATAGACAACGTAAATTTTCCCATCAAGACAGCGTGGAAACCAAAAAGGTGGTCGAGGAGAATGGCGAGGCCGGTGTCCGCAAGGTATCCGTGCAACCGGAGGATACCACATTAGAGGTTATGAAACGTGATCGATTCGTACTTAAAAATTTCTTAGAATTTTATGCGACATTAGTTTAGAACCGACCATATTCATAGCAAAAAGAAATTTCATTAAATTTTGCTACTATTATTTGGTACAATGATATCAAGGCTACATCTACTTGTATGAACCGCATTTATTTAAGTAAAATAATCGGAAAAGTTTAGAAATACTTTTATGAGTGTGGTCGGAACACGATTTGTGTTTTAGTAGAGACAAAAGAAATCTTTAGCAGACACTTAGCCGACTATCTTTATAAGACGTATTCATTCATTACTTGCTTTGTTTTGTGTGCTTTTCTCTCACCTCTTTTGTGCATAAAATTTATAAATTAACTTATAAAAAATCGCTAATTAAAACAAATCAATGCCAACAACAATACGCAAACTGCAAATTTCGACACCACAGCCAGATCCGCAGGTTGTTATTCACTGCAAAGGCTTAAGCATAATCTTTCACTCCAAATACTTTTCTTAATAGATTACTCAAATATATTTTCTGAACTTATTAGGAGGCCGATCTCAATGAGTTGAGATCTCATCGTTCCGATGATCCCCGTGCGCTCAGACGTCACAAAATCCACCATTCATCAATCAAGTTGCGCGAATTGCCGCAAATTAGTGTGGCGGGCTTGCAGCTGAAGAAGGTCTACGATCATAGTCCGCATGAGGTAATACAATAAGAAACTGCCATATTCGTGTGATTTAGAAGAGGGGATATGCATCTACATTTTAACACACCAACCTTTAACTGTCTCCCAGATATTTGTGCAACTCGATGAACTCACTGGCTTAGGCGAAGAACGCGAATGGAAGGAAACAGCCCGTTGGATCAAGTACGAGGAAGATGTTGAGGAAGGCTCCGATCGCTGGGGCAAACCTCACGTTGCTTCACTCTCCTTTCACTCGTTGCTCAATTTACGTCGCTGCCTCGAAACGGGTGTTGTGCTGCTGGACTTGAATGAGAAGGACCTGCCGGCAGTGGCATACCGTGTTGTGGAGCAGGTATGTGGAACCGTAACCTTAAATCATTATTGTCTGCCACTTCCTATGAAAACTAGAATTCGCCAAATTTCGTCATTGCCTCATATTTTCATCGTTCAATTATTTTACACTTCCGCAGATGGTCGTTGAAGATCTAATCAATGCCGAGGACAAACCGGCGCTCATGCGCTCATTGCTGTTGCGTCACCGACACGTGAACGAACACCAGAGCGGCTTTCCGTTTACGAAGCGGAAATATAGCAGCTACACAAGTTTACAGGTAAGCGGAGCTTAGCTTTAACATGCTTATGTAATCTTATGTTATCATTACTTTTTGCTCTCCGTCAAAGCTAACTAATTCACCTCGCACAGACCTCGTCTGTGATCCGTGTGGTGTTAGAGAGCTAGTGCTTCTGTACTTTATGTTTATGCTAAACTACTAATCCATATTGTATAAGTCAAGTCACTCCATATATTTTATAATTTTCTGCCTAATTTCAGTTAAGTTCGTATCAAAGTCTGTACATACATATTCGTATTTATTGAATTACTAACAGTCCATGTCACTTTGAAATATATTTACTCACTCTTAATTATATTTTTTGCTTTTTGGAAAAATTGGGTAATAATATTATGTATTTTGTATGTTATTCAGTATTAATGTACATATATCAATGTAAGTCAAGCTTAAGAGTTGTTATGATTATAACTTAGGGCATATACCTTGGCTGGAAATTTGGAAGATTTTATCCTAGACCACTTTTTAACATTAACTATGAAGAGACTGCGATGCGAGTAGTAGTAAGAATCGGGCATTGCTTTCACCAATTCTATCAGCAATCGGCCTTCAAGCTAACCTCTCTCTAGATAGATTCTTTAGCGGACTACTCAAGAAATTTGCTACGTAATAAATTCACATCCGTTGGGGAACGCTATATATATATACATGTGAAAAATAGTTATTGATTGAGCTGTTGGATGTTTATCGAATAAAATTTTATTTACGTAATAAAATTAAATATCGCTTTATTATTAATTACTCATATATTTACATATATATGCTCTTTGGTATATCCATCATTTATGTATACTGTATGTCTCTGTCTTTCTCTTTCTGTTTTCACTTTATTATATTTTCTTCACACAAAAATCGTCAAATCGACAATGCTATACCATACCATCGAAAACGTTGGATAATCATAATTTTATTACCCTGTTTTTGTTCCAAACATCGGCATGAAAATGTCTTCATCCGCGACTGTGCCTACCCATACATATGTACTTACCTACATGACATTTCAATTGCTCATCTCAACAATCACATTGTGCACCCTCTTCGTCTAACTGTAACCTTGTGTGTGCCTAAGCAGAAATCACCGCAAAAGAATGGCAGTAAAGTCGCCACCGCGATTGCCAAAACTGTAATCTCATTAACTTTTCTTGCAATACATATGCTATACATTCATATAACTATAATAACTAAGTTTCTACAGTAGCCGTCCAATTATGTAATCTAGCTCAGAAGAAACGAGCGGACTCGCTCAGCTTAGTTCAGCGAATTGTGATTTTTCTAACACTAACATTTCATAGCAAAGTAATGTCTTCGATTCGATTGTTATTATATCACCCGCTCTAATTTGCACAATTCGTTGGGGCGAGTGTTCACATAATCGAACGGTTACTGTAGTTGATTGCAAAAGCGTCGTAACTCATAACGAAGCTACGTCAGAACATAGTGCTCAAGTGATTGCTTTCGCTTTTTTAATAGAATTTGATATATCGTCAGCTATGTTAGTTAAGATTTTGCCTTGGCCTTTGGAGCAAACAAAGCAATTCAAAGTTGTTGAGTTACGTCCCTCTTGCAGAAAGCGGCCGCTTTGTGTTGGAATATAGTCACAAAGCAAACTTAAGATGTTATTCGTGCTTAATGTTCCTCAAAATGTCAATAAAAGAAATTCAATAAAAGTATAGAAAGTTAAAATCTATGTAAAATTTTAATATGAAGGCTTCGAGCTTATATTAAAATTTTTGGCATCAAGCTTTCTTTGATTCTTTGTGTGCTATGCTTCTGACAACTTTGCTAAGTTTTAAATGCGTTTGACAAACACATAACGTCCTCAAGTAAATATGTAAATACTTACGAAAATAAAATTATTTCTCTTTCTCTTTTGCTTATTTTAAACGCGCTCATCTTCTCGTTTTTTTATAAACCCGAAAAATCTGAAATTATACAAAATAAAATTTAAAATTGGCTAAAAATAAAAAAAATATAAATTTATCGAAATTCTATTGAAAACAATCGTCTGCATATATACGAGTATTTAACCAAAAATCCTAAATTCCGCACCCCAAAATACCGACAACACACACTTGGGTTGTAGTTGCTTTGGATGGGCGGCGAAATTCAACAGCAACAACAATTGGCACTGCAACAACATCTTACCAACGTTGAAAATGCCAAAAAGCGACGGTCTGTATGCGAGACCCTTAGTGCACCGCCCACATCCATTTCACTTTGCAGCGAACCGCACAACGGTACCAATAGACGGCACTCCACCATGTCTTACTTGGGAGTAATTACAAATAAATTAATTTAAATATAATCTCAATATTGAAATATATATAACGATTTTCGTTTAGTTTGTCAGATTTCTTTTCTGGTTTTGTTCCTTCTAACTCCTCTAGTTTTCTAAGTTTGTACATATGTAAGTGAATGCAATCGAAATTATTTTGTTAAAGCATGTTCAATTCTTATTCTTTCCCGCTTTTGCGTTTTGCGTCTACTGTTAAAAAATGTCTTTTTAAAATGGGTTTAAAACAGTTTTTTAGAATATGACGAGAGGTGGGTGTCTTTGCTGTAAGTTGACATGACTTGGAATTCTGTGGATCGTTAGCAGTAGTTTGGCAGCTATAAAGACCCCGCTAACTAGTTTCCAGAAGCAAAAAATCATTCATGTTTTTTTATCTATCAAAAAAGAATCCTTCGAGAATAAAAAATTTCAAGTCTTTTTGAATAATAGTTTACTTTACACAATGCCATAGTGAACTTTCAAAGCGACGTGCGTCTTTCTTCAAAAATATAGCAGTTCTTGAAAATGAAACCGATTGGAGTATGCTGAGTCAACCCTTACCCAGCCTAGGAGTGGCTTCGTTACCTTTTCGTTAAGTCATGTTTTTTACATTTCATACTAACATATCCTTCCTTTTCTTGGATAACCCTAACACTGTGACCCATGGAAACTGTAGACATACCACCATAGTTACGGCTGAGATGCTGTAAAATGCTTTCTTTTTTAGTTACTTGTGTTAATTGAATGAACTGTAGAGATTGAAAATAGTCTTGTTATTGAGAAAGTTTTATTAACGACTATATCCGTATTTAATTGCATTAGTTCTTCTTAGAATACGGTTATTTTGAGAACTTTTTCCTCTTTGTAAATATAAAATATTATATTCTCTTAGATCTATTTTAGTGTGTAAACATTTTTATACTTTTTTACTTTTTTACGATTTTCGTTATTGTTTTAAAAAAATAATCGCATGCTTTAGTAGGTCTACTAACCCGAAACTATACCCACTAAATGATTAATAATAGAATTTCACGTCTTCCTGAAGTTCTCCAAAATTCTGCATAGCTCATATACATATATTATATTTTTATAATCACATTACCTTAGAACCTCTCTGGGGAAGACAAAAAGCCTAGAATAATGCCGGCAGCTGAGATTGGTGGCAGCAAACGCAGCAATGAGTTGAAGATTGATATGAGGGACGACTTGTATTCTTCGTCGCAGGAGAATCTTCAAAAGCTGCAAAACGACAGCATACTTAAGCGCATACCTGTGGGTTCTGAAGCAACAACGGTGTTGGTAAGTAGGATTATATCTCAAATTTAAGCGCTTGGCTTTGCGTGAGTAAACTCAATATCTTGTGGTACAGGTGGGTGCAGTGGACTTCCTGCAACAACCAACCATCGCATTCGTGCGTCTTGCAGAGGGTGTGCTTATGCCCACTTTAACAGAGGTAGCCGTGCCGGTACGTTTTATGTTCATACTCATGGGCCCTCCAACCCTTGACTTGGACTATCATGAAGTGGGTCGATCCATTGCAACGCTAATGGCAAACGAACCATTCCACGCAATTGCATACAAGGCAGATGATCGTAAGGATCTGCTTTCGGCCATTAACGAGTTCTTGGATGATTCCATTGTGCTGCCTCCGGGTAATTGGGAGCGTCAAGATCTCTTGCCATTTGCGGAATTGAAAGCAAAGAAGGACTGGATCCGCTCGCGCAAGCGAAAGGCGTTAGAGGTAAGCCAAAAGCTTAGAGTCTTCTAACGTCTGCAGATTTTTAACAAATATCCTATTTAGGTAAAAAATGAATTGAAGGAGAAGATAAAAGAAGAAGCTAAAATAATTGTTGAAAAGAAACCGGAATTGGAAAGTGGTGATGGAAAGAAGAAGATTAATCCGTTAGAAAAAACGCACAAGTGGTGGGGTGGTTTGCGTAATGACCTTAAGCGCCGTCTGCCCATGTATAAGAGCGATATCACCGATGGTCTGAACACGCAAACGTTGGCCGCCACGATCTTCATGTACTTTGCTTGCCTCTCGACCGCAATCACCTTCGGTGGTTTGGCCTCCGAAAAGACTGGCAATCTGATTGGTATATCAGAGACCTTGTTGAGCACAGCACTTTGTGGTTTAATTTTCCACACGATTTCTGGACAACCGCTCGGTATTATAGGTACAACTGGTCCACTGCTGCTCTTTGACGAAGCGTTGATTAACTTTTGTCGTGAGAACAATTTGCCCTTCCTCACCATACGCGCCTACATCGGTGTTTGGTTGGCCATCATTGCTACTACGCTGTCTGCGTTCGAGTGCAGCGTTTATGTGCGGCTGTTTACCCGATTCACACAGGAAATTTTTTCTGCATTAATCACATTGATCTACATCTATGAGACATTGATGAAATTAGTTTCGGTATATAAGAAGAACCCGCTATTGGCCGACTATAATTTCCCACCAGCAACACTAGCACCACAATTACAGGGTTTTGATAATACAACGATGGAGAATATGGGTAATGTAACCGCCGATGTTCCGGTCTTGAGCACTACATCCAGCATTGGTTTAATTTCGAATATCATATCCCATACTAACATGCCAAACACTGCACTTTTCTGCACGATACTCACCTTGGGCACCTTCACGATCGCCTACTATCTCAAACTCTTCCGTAATTCCCATTTCCTGGGACGAAATGCTCGCCGTGCGCTGGGTGACTTTGGTGTGCCGATCGCCATAGCGATTTTCGTGTTGATTGACTATCTTATACCACAAGTGTACACGGACAAACTTAGCGTGCCGGAGGGTATTTCACCCAGTGATCCGGAAGTGCGCGGTTGGTTGGTGCCCCTGGGAGGTATGCCTGTTTGGGCACCCTTTGCCTGTGGCATACCCGCCATTTTGGTATACATTCTCATCTTTATGGAGTCGCATATTTCGGAATTGATTGTCGATAAGCCGGAGCGAGGTCTGAAGAAGGGCTCCGGACTACATTTGGATATTGTGATATTAGGATTTTTGAATACATGTTGTGGCCTCTTCGGCACGCCATGGCATTGTGCAGCTACCGTGCGTTCAGTAACACACGTCTCTGCTCTAACGGTGATGTCAAGGTGCATACTAATTTTTGTTGTGTGATATTTATTATATATATTACATTGTGTGTATAACGTTTTCTTTTTTTTAGAACGCACGCCCCTGGTGAGACTCCACGCATCATCGATGTTAAGGAGCAACGTCTCTCTGGTTTCTTTGTGGCTCTCTTAATCGGATTATCCGTGACAATGGCACCTTTGCTGCGATTGGTACCTATGGCGGTGCTGTTCGGTGTATTCCTATACATGGGTATCGCATCGATGAGCGGCGTACAATTCTTCGACAGGTAAGCTCGGTCACACTTCGACATTTATACTATATACTACCGTTGTAATACTTTCAGAATGGGATTATACTTTATGCCTGTAAAGCATTATCCCCCCACACCGTATGTGAAGCGAGTGCCCACTTGGAAAATGCATATGTTTACCACAATACAATTGCTCTGTCTTACTTTACTCTGGGCTGTGAAATCGTCCAAAATATCATTGGCTTTCCCCTTCTTTTTGATTATGATGGTGCCAATAAGGCAGCGACTTGCCATGCTCTATACACCCGAACAACTGCAAGCGGTAAGTGATCTCCTGTTTTAGTTTTAGCAAACACCCAAAAGAATTTGTCATATAATTGCGAATGCAAATGCCCTTTCTTTTTAAACCTAGCTCGATGGAAGTGAAGCCAAAGATGAGGACGAACCCGATTTCTACGAAGAAGCAACCATTCCGGCATAAGGAAGGACATGTACATATGAAAAGCTGTATTTAAAGCAAATATTAAATAGATTTGAAAAGCTTTATAAATAGAAAAAGTTTAGGATATTGTGATTTTATAAACCATTTCAAATGTATTTAGTTTGTGGTGAATAAGGCCGCTAACTTAAAAGCCTGCATAACTGTAATTGAAGGAATTGCCTGTACTTAAGCATAAATTTATACACTTAAGTGCTTTATAAAATATTTTATTGTTCTTAAAGTCATTTAACTTTTACATTTTCTATTTTATGAATCTTTTGCTAGTTGAATTCGTTTTAATTTTTGAAGATAGAGTTGTAGATTTGCATTGATTAATGTTAAAGGAACCACAACAAAAAACAAAAAGAAGCAAAGTATTTTTCTACCCTAACGCTGTATAACTAAAACAAAAACAAAAAAAAAAATCTTAAGCAAAAAGTATTGTAGTCACTTTATTTATATAAAGAGCAAATTGTATGTTATGTGTATGTATATGTTAAAATTAAAAAAAAGTTAATAGAAGAGCGTGGCGCGTTCACGATTAAAGTATTATCTTGCAAAATCAAAATTACTGATAACTGTATATGTGTATGGTAATTAGTTGAAGGTATTGCAATTTTATTAGGTATTAGTATAGAAATATTAAATAAATTATTGTCGCAAATCGCCAGGCAAGTTGTGTAGAAGTGATCCAAGCAAATTTTAATAACAAATATATATATGATGTGTTACTAATTGTTATCGAAATGCACTCTTACCGAAACCGAAATAGTTCATACTTAATAGAACCACTGAATGTCCCTTACTTAGTGACAACTTAATTAGTTGTTATTGATTTTAATTAATTAAGAAATCATAGCTGTGTGTGCATTAACACAAAAACGAAAACAAATACAAATCATTTCGAGGCGAAATATGTGAACTTAGTGCTTTGTAAGCCAGCGAGTCTATCGCTGTTAATGTCATTGTGATGTACTGTACTTATCAGCTTGGAACAATAATTGAAACAAAGAAATCGAACATGGAACACCGTTTATTAGAGATGCTAAATATTTTCAGACGCAAATACATGCATACTTAACAATCAAAGATATGAAACGTTATTATATTTAAAAAAGTATAAAAGACAAATTTTGAAAATAAACAAATAAAATAATCCTATTGTTATGACTAAAATCCTCTTAGACTTAATAAATAAAATATTGAGTGATTTAAATTAACACAAAATTTGCGATTAAATACATATGAAGAACTTAAAGATTGACCTCAGACAATTTGCGGACACAAAACAGCGCAGTAAGTACGACGGAGTGCAAGGCATCAAAGTAATAATGTTGCAACTGATCGCATCGTAATGGTTGGCCGAGCTTTTTCTTCCATCTATGGCCTGCGTTTTGCTGTAGTCCGAGGAGTGGAGAGATACCTAACCCTTTCGAGCAAACGCAAATCGGAAATACTTGTTTTGACCTTGATCGGAACAGATACCGACTTCAGGTCCTAGGCAGGCACTTCCTCTGATGGTGTGATCCAAACCACGGCTTCCATAAATGTCAGTCTTTGCTCTTAACTTACTTTCATTAATAAAGGGTGTGCATCTGTTTCCACTTCACTTGCTTTGTTTCTACAACACGTAATTGTATTTGTCTGACAAAAAAATGAGTTTTTGAAAATATTAAGAGTTCGAAGAATTTAGTGGCAACGTCCAACGATATAGAAATATTTCCAAATTTTAAATTTCTAATTTTATTTTCCCTTCATCAATCAGCTCAGTTGTCTTGTATTGTTTACGTTTAATTTACAATTTCACGCATTGGTTTTGAAAATGTTTTGAAAATCCAAATTTTATTGTACAAAAATTAAAAAAAAAATAATAAATAAACCAAAATGAGTAATTGTGTAATGAATATAAGTGCGGATAAATTAAACAACTTCATCCAACAATCCGCATCAATTGAGGAATCACTAGAACTAGCCAAAAGAGGAACCGAACAAATTAGAAATGAAATTGAATTGTTGAAACAGATACAAAAGTTTCATGAAGAATACGACTATCTAACGAATGCGTTGAATGACAAAGCGAGATCAAAATCTGAAATTACCACACTTAAAAGGGAACTCTTCACTTTAGTGCGGAAACGAATACAACTGCTTCGTATTTTCAACAAACATTGCGACGATTTCAAATCGGACATGAAGTTGATGCGCCAATTGCAATCATCAAATGACTTTCAATATGAGGTCGGGGATGGCGGAAGCGAATGTGATGATGCCGATGATATAAACGAGCAGGTCGGTATTCGCAACACAACGGAAAGGGAAACGTGGTGCAGTGAAAATTGGTTTTCTCCACGCTCTTCGTGTACTACTTTTGTTTAGTCGTAATAAGAGAATAATTCCACCACCAATCAATCCGATCTGGAAAAGGATTTTCATTAAAAGTCTAACCTGGCTTTTACATTTTTATCAAATTTCGTTCATCGCAATAATTAGATACCCAAAAAGTGCTAAACACGCTTAGCTGAAGTGCAAACATACATATGTACATATGTATATGTATATGGTATATCAAGTGCTTTGAAGGTATACATATGTACATATACTTCTGATTCGTAATAAATCAACATTTAACACTATTTGAAACAAGTATGATATTTGCCGCCTATTAGGGCTCTTGGTTTTGCTAGGCAGTCCAGAGAATCGACAAACGAACGATTGATACAATTTCCAAGTGTAAACGTGAATAAATTTTCCGAGAATGGGCTTAACCTGAGAACGTAAAAAACGTTCTCTGTTTTAACCAGCTTTGAACATAGCCAACAAACAATTCAAGCATTCAAGGTAAAAATATAGCCAGAGAATGTTAATGAATTTGTCTGATGCCCCTTTCAGAAAGGAGATTTAGCAACATGGCCTATTAGCGGCTTAAAATATTAATTTAATTGATTTTGTTTTATGCACTATGCGTTCTAAATACACACCATATAGTGCTCTTATATGTTTACTCATATCCTTATTTCATAGTTTTTCGATTTAGCCCATTTTATTTAAATACGACGCTATGAAAATGCAGCCCAATCGGTAATCGTAGTATTTCAAAAGGGCATTAGTCAATTTTCAATAGCAAAGCATTGCAAAAGGGACGAACGTGACAACATAACCATTAAAACAAAATTTGTCAACTTCGCCAGGATACGCAAAATTCGGAGTCAATATATGAGTATGGGAGTTCGTATGTATGTATGTTTGTCGGCAAAGTTGTCATTTGGTTTTTTTTTTAAGGTTTTGTCAGAACTCAATTTTTTGCTCCTCCCCAACTCTCCACGAATTCGCCGTTCTTTCGTGGCGTGCCACCATAGACAGAGGCGTTTGCATCATATTATTGAGTTGCTTAATTTGTATTTAGAAATACTGATATCTTAGGGCTCATTTACGTAAATATATAAATACACATAAATTCATACTTATTTAAATGTTTTTCAAATAAATTCGATAAATAAAAGAATATCTGAAATAATTATGTGGTAGCGCACCCCCTGAGCCCTCCTTGCCTGCGATCGTGCTTCTCGCAAAGAGCAAATAGTGTAGACAAAAGGCATTGTTTGTGCAAGCATCAGCGTATGTGTACTCAAGAATGTATGTGTGATTTGCACATTTGTATAAATACACATCAATAAGGGAATATGCAATAAACCTAAACTTATGAACATATTTTCCTGAAATATTTTAATTATTTCAGTGAGTAAAATATGCTATTTAAGTAACTGAATTGAGATCAGCTAAAATGTCAAATAATAAAATAAAATAAAAATAAAAATTAAGATTTATGATTTACGGGATTCATCGTAAGCGTTTGTATTCGGAATGGCTTAACTCCTTCACGCTTACCATTTGAGCCACGGCAAAAATGGAATCGTAACCGCTTAGCCACTGTTCTATTTTTATCCTTTGCCTATTAGATATTGTTCATGCAACGCACAAAAATGTGTTTAAGACATTTTCCATTTATTAAATTCTGTGGCTTTAACCAATAATCCTCTTATATAATTTAAAGGATTATTTTAAATCATGAAAATTATGATTTTTTTGTAATATGCAAATGTAAATCAGCAAGCGCATAATTCATTTAAGAACATTCTTTGTGTCTATTTATAGCCTTTTCCCCGTTTCGATCATTGCGTTGTGTATTTCAAAAGAGTCGAAGTTGTATTTTTCGATGTTCCCTCTTGTAAAAAGCTCAATTTAGTACTTTTTAACATTTGCGCTTTCTCCATTTATTAACATTCTCTGCTCTGGCAACATGCTTTTCTTCGATGTTTTTCATGCACTCAATTGCGATGTGTTTGTCCTAAAAAGCTACGTGTCCCAAAAAGCTCAATAATTGAGTGAAAATCGGAGCTGATACAAAAACCGAAACTCTCTGGTGCGAAGAATAACAAGCGATGCATCTCAACGAGTACCACGAGCGTAATAATTTACCACAAGCTCGTCTCCTACACGCTTATGGTGTGCGTAGAACCGACTTCGTTGTCGTCCTTATCCTGTCGTAGTCTTTTTTATTAAGCAGTCGACATCGGGCGCAACATCGACAACTTTTATACAAAATAACACGAAAGGTGAAATGAAGAAATCAGTTGAAATCGCGACGTTTCAGCGTACGGATGCGACCATAATTGTGGCGCGTGAACGAAGCGTGCTTATTTCCTACAGATATATATCATAGAATTGCCGATTATAAAATCCACTAGTGCGAAATTTCGCATGATTCGGCTAAGCAGATTGGCGAGTAGTGATCTAAACTAATTGTATGTGAAAGTTGGCGATAACGAAATTATTTTCAGTTTGTGAGTGCGTATTTGGCAATAATTTTCGCAAACATTGGCGGAAACGGAACTGCCTGCCAACCTCAATCCATTGCCGTGGTCCAAGAATTATTACCATTTTGTTAGCTAGTGTCGGTGAAAGCACTCACGTTATAAGCGGGAATTTCCATCTGCCGTTATTGTGTGCGTCGCGTTTCGCTGTCGCTTTCGGTAAATTCACGTTAATGATTCGTGGGTCGGTCGGACGACTGGTCGGTATTTGCATCGGTCAAGCCTTTTAAACGATATATGACTTTCGGTGGCGAAAAGTCCACAATGTTTGTATGTATATGTGTACATTTCATCAGTTACTAGCAAATTCGAGCACAATTATCAAATAGCTGACCAATTGTGCCAACCGCTCACTGAGTATGGATTTCGACCTTGCAGACTCACATTCGTGGCTCATTACTAAGAAGGTATAAAAACAATGATTATGTGTCGATATTCTCGTATGTTTTCACATTTTAAATGTGATTCAGGAACACTGTCCCACCGGAAGTCATCCACCATTAGGATAATTCATCATCAGCTAGAGCGGAACATTGCAATTTAGGCATAAAACATTTCATTTTACAATTTTGACAAACAATAATGCTAACACCATAATCTTAAAATCAATAGAATTGTGTCGAGCCTAAAAGACCTAAATATCAAAATGTAAACAAGAAATACGTGAGCAAAATATTATATATAATATATTATTAGACATTTTCCTTAGAAACAGCACGTTTTATAGCAACACATCCTTATATAATTAAATCATTGATGAAGAAATTTATAGTTTGAAATAATAAAAAAACCACTAATTCGCTCCAACAAAACCTTTAAAATAGAAGTACCGTACTTAGAATGTAATTTAAGGCGCTATTGAAGAATACTTAACTATTGCCTATTATTGGATTTCTTTAATCTGACTTATACTTCTCATCCGCACGAACATAGCTGAAACTGAAAATATGCATTGCCTAAATTTTTAATTTTTCAGGAGAGAATGTTTCTCTAAATAATATAATATTTGTTTTTGCTTCTGTAAGTCGGGGAATAAGATACATTAACATTGGGCTGTATATCGGTGATAATCTTATAGAATTGTTAGACTAACTCGTCGAAAGGTAGGATGCTGTGTTCGTCGCCTGACTCACAGTAGGTACATAAGCGAAAGATCGATCAAAAACTGCGATATATTTTGACTTTGATCAGCCACTAAAGAATTAATGGTGAAATATTTCCGTTATATATCTATCTATCTTTTATTATTATACCATGAACAGGGTATATATATCAAGTTTGCCACGAAGTAAGTTCTTATAAGGAACCTTCGTATTTGTGAAGGGTACTATAGCTTCGGTGCAACCGAAATTAACGTTTTTTCTTGTCTTTGATTGGAAAAGGTTGTTCGCATCTACATTATTATATCAAATTACTTGCTGCACAAATGTTTCTTTCGAAAAGAACTTGAAAATAACTTCGACTCCTTGATATTTGCTTAGAATTGATCATAACTCTGACGGTTTCCGATTTTGTTAGCATCCCGCTGCTAGGAATAAATAAAGCCTGTGAAAAGCGAAAGATACTTGAGTGAAGAGCTAGCCGCCCACTAACCCTTAAAATTAGAAGCAACCGTTGCTAACTGAAACTATAATTACTAGTCGAATCAAAACTCCTGAGGAGTTGAAGCTATTATTAAATAAAATGGGTGGGTTGTCTATGTGCACGCAGTTTTAGTGTGATAACATTAATTTTCGACACAAAGAGCTTCATAAACATTTTATGAATTCGATATCCATTCGGCCTTCCGTGCACCCGCGATCAATAGCACGGCCCATAAGTAATTGCGCGCAGTCCATCAGCCATTAAAAGGGTCACAATTCCAAATCAATTAATTTAACAACAAAGGAACTGTCATGTAAATAAATAATGACAAGTATGAAAACAAACCGAAATTATAACAATAGAGAGTAAAACGACGACTAAGACATAATAACGGTATGTGCATACAAAAAGTATGATAGCAAAGAAAAAATGAGAAAGCGATTGAGGAAAAGCATACCCAACAACAACAACACATTACATACGTAAATATATATATATATAGAGTAAATTAAGAATGAAATACATATTTACTAGCACACTTGCATAGACATACATATTTCGAATGGTTGTGGGACCCAACCTATCGATTGCTGCAACGCAGTGTTGTGTTTCGCCGTGAGTCCTATTCGCCGAAGCAAGCTCAAGGAAGAACCTACGGTTGACTGAGTGACGACTTCCAGGCATTTGAGTGATTGGACGCACCCACCGCATTCACAAACAGCACCTCTCATACGTACAAACTATATATGTATATCTTTTGCTGAATTCCTTGCTGGCGATCTCCACTTCTACAAGTATTATGTAAACATCCGGTTGTAGACGGCCGGCCGGCAGTCGGCCAGTAGTTATCATTGTTGGGTCATCCTGTTGCGCTCCGTTTCATCGCTTTCATTTCCACAAGGCTACGACTCAATGCACTCGGGCCGTTTATAACAATTTTTAGTTTGAATCGTTTTTATGTTGGCTGTATTGAACTGACAGACACATCAATTAAAAGCAATGTCAATGTACTGCCAACACTGGCAGACGTAAAAAATACCCAGACCCGATTCTGCGCCGCCGTTGCAATCCGGACAATGACATTGGGCTTTTTTAATTCATTGATTGGCAAGCGGCGATATGAGTTCGATTAAAATGAGTTGTTGAAAAGCTTCCATTGGCACACCTTTTTGTTTGCTTGTCACATTCATTTAACTTTCCTTATTAAAACACTGGCGCTTCGTAAGTTTGCCTATATAAATGGATTACAATATAGCGGAGCATATGTCTCTAAGGTTAAATACCTTGAGAACTAGCATTTGTATGAATACTTTAGCACACGGAATTTTTGACAATTTTAAAGAACGTGTTTTATTTCTATTTCACTTTAATAAATTTTATAAAAGATGATTGACCTTAGTGTAAACAAGTAAGGAAGTGCTAAGTTCGGATGTAGCCGAACATATTATGCTCTTGCAACTTGCAAGAGTCAAAGCCCGGAAATTTCCTTCGAGTGCTGGTAAAACGTTATGGTATATTAAGAAATGTTGCGAAAGAATTAAAAGACCAATATTCGATGAAATCGCGAATAAATTACAATCAAATTTGGTATCTTCTTGACTTATATTGAATGCCATTAACATAGACTTAATTTTATGGCTATATTTGAGTTCGCGTCAGCAAAAATTGTATTCAAAACAAAATTCAAATGAGATATACGCATATGATATCAACACAACCGAAGAGGCTAGATTTAATATATATTGAGTTGATGTAGAAAACGTCGAACAAAGGATCGGAATCCATTATATAATATTAGGGGAATGAGGTTTAGACCAAAGTATAGACAAATTCCGATCTAATTAAACCACACTACGCTAAACCACATAATTTTTAAGAAAACTTGTCTATTTAATTTCATTAAAATAGCACACATTTTGACCAACCTGAACAGTTTAAACACAGATGAAAAGACGAAAATCATTTTATGGGGTATATTGGAGATAGAGAAAGGGCACTAATTTTGACATTGTTCAGGTATACTCGAAAACATATTTGCAAGCAATTTTATATATAAATAAGACACACATTTCGGTTAGTCGGCATAAAACTTGTTAGAATAATGAAAGTCATTATGAGTAGTTAATAGGAATTGGGGGTAGTATTGACCCAATTTTATCAAATTTTGCCAATACCAAATTATTCAAAAGTTGGCCGCGGTGACGTCTGAGATGGTCCATCCGTCGAGTTTACGATAACTCGTTCGAGTATTGCGACTGGTAACTGGAGAATGACATGCGTGATGTTTTGCTCCAAAGGTCTGAATCAAATGAATGAATTGCCCGCATAGTCGATTATCATGGCGCGGTAAAGGTCACCATTGACGGTTCCACCGGCCCACAAACCACACCAAATCGTTGTTTTTCTGGATGAATCTCTTCAGGTTGCTATTTGTCCCAAATGTGGCAATTTTACTTGTTTACATACCCATTGAGCCAGAAATGGGCCTCATTGCTGAACAAAATTTAGCTTGAAAACGTCGGATCTTCTTGGAACTTTTCTAGAGCCCATAGAGCGAAGCGATGTCTCTGTGAAAAGTCGTGCGTCGACGTAAAATACGCCAAGTCTTTCCATATGTCAGTTCGAGTTTCTGCAAACGGCGAACTCTCCACGGCCTTTATGTACACTCTCAGCTACGGCTGAGAGAACGACAGAACGTGAACTTTCGTTATAAAGTTAAACAATTTGCAAACGTTATTAAGGCGTAAGTCTCTCTATGATAAAATGCCAAACAATGCTTAATAAAATTTACATAACAGCTTGACACGACTCACACGTGATCTGTCAATAAAAGGCTATTGAAAAAAGTACCTCTACTTGGATCACCTATTATTATCAGGAAATGATCCTTTCTAAATTTCAATTAAATATATCACACTTTGATCTTTTTTTTGGGTAAAAAGTTAACTATAGGTATTGGGGTTCACATATTCGGACTTGAACAATTTCGAAAATTTTTGAACCCCCGTTATATGGGGAGTAGGCAGGTATGCATTCGATTAATGGCGTTGTGAGGGCGTGGCAGTGGTGCATTTACGCCCATTTACTCACCCCTACTTTTTTGACAAACAATATGTGTACCAAATTTCATCAAGATATCTTAATTTTTACTCAAGTTACAGCTTGCACAGACAGACGGACGGACGGACAGACAGCCACCCGGATCTCGCCTCGTCATACTGATCATTTATATATGCACATATAACTCTTCTAGTACCTTCAGGTGTTAGGAAAACTTTATATTAAGAAATGTAGCGAAAAGGTTTAACTTCATTGTTCGACGAAATGGTGATTGGTTTACAATCAAATTGGGTATCTTATTAATTAATTTGAAGTCATTGACTGATTGAGAAAATTATACTAAAATCATTGGGGGTATAGAAATGGAAGGGCTGATTGCATTAATTTTTGACACTGCTCAGGTATACTTGAAAACTTTTTTATAAAAATATACATATTAATATATATATCGAAATCTGATGGAATATAAAGTTGTGTTACATGAGAAGTAGGCGTGGTTACTGTGCGATTTCGCCCATTTTCGCACTGTTACATGGAAATGTCAAAATAGTCGTGTGTGCCAAATTCGGTTGCAATTAGTGGAACCTAATATCATTAAGGGCAGGTACATTTAGTTCTCCATTCTACTGGCATAATTCGATCATTTTTAAACTGCAATAAGTCCTCAAGCACCTTTTCAACTTGTTCATTGCCACTATTTTCAGGCACGATTTATTTAAGAGTTGCGTCACGACAAATCCGAAATTCGGCAGCAATTTAAATT